TTTTTTTTTTTTTTGTCTTTTTCGTGACCGGTAAGGGGATCGCAACCCTTGGTGTGGTGTGGCCCGCACCGCGCTCAGCCAGTGAGTGTACCGGCCAGTCCTATATAGGATCCGAACCCGCAGTGGGAGCGTCGCTGTACTCCCAGCGCCGCACTCTCCCGAGTGTGCCATGGGGCCGGCCCTCTAAATTTTTTTTTAAGTTGAAAGAGAGTGTTAGAAGAGAGGACAGAGAGAGAGGAGTTTTATAATTTATCAGTGTATGGGTATAATAGAAGTGATCACCATATGATTCTTTTCTAATTTTATGTCAGGCACTGCGCTTGGCCCTCCTAGGCCTCAGCTCCTCATCTGTGCCATGAGGATCCTGGGCAGACTTTCCTCCTTCGTGAAATAGAAGCCAATGCACCTTTACCTGATGGATCTCAAAGTGTTACAGTCCCCTCATCCTGGGAGTGTGAGGAGGTGGTGGGGGCTGTGGCAGCTGGAACCTCCCATGAACTGCCTTGGCCAGGGCCCCAAATACCCTGTAGTTTCCATGGGCACTGGAAAAGTTTATCATTTTCTAAGTATATTGAGATGTGAAGAAATGTTGGGGGCACAGTCTCAGCACAGTGCCTGGCACGCTGTGAGCCTCAGTGGGAATGACCCTGCATCACTTCCCATGGACACCCATGAAGGCCTGGGCAGATGGGGAGGAGCAGGGCAATGACACCATTGGAGAGAAGGTGGCCTGTGAGCTGGGCCTGGAGGGATGAGGTGGTGTTTGCAGACACAGCAGGACAGGAAGGGCACTCCAGGTAAAGGGGACAGAGCAGCAAGGGCAGGAAGAGGGTTAGTGTCTAGGGTATTTAGGAAATGGTGGGTGAGTGTTTTAGTGTGGCAGATTGCAGTGTGTGTGTCTGTCTGTGTATGAGTGTGTCTGTGTGTGATGTGTCTGGTGTGTGTGTATGTGTGTGTGTACCTGGAAATGAGGGTGGAATGACAGCATGAGCCAGAAAGGAAAGTGCCACACAGCCTGGTCTGATCTTGTGTCCCCTGAGGAGAAGGGAAGGATCCAGCCAGAAGTTGGGATGGGAGTCACAGGAAGGGGAAGGTCCGTGGAATACCAGTGGGAAGTGTGTCGTGTTACCTGACAAATCCTAGGAAAGCACTTCTCAGAGAGTTCCTGGAGTCCCTGTGATTTCCTGTAGAAAGAATCTGCCTGCCTCCTGGGCATTAAGTAGAATTTCTCAGAAGACGACCCTGATTTATATCTCCCTTGCTGGACAAAGTAACTTTGTCTTGCTATGTCCAAACAATCCCTAAAATACCTCATTGAAAGTGCCTGTTTGTGTAGGTCAGGGCTTCAGGGGGTGGTTTAAGGACAATTACGATGACCCCTAGGTGACCCAATTTTACTTTTGACATGTGTATTATTGAGCCACAGCAATATTTTTAGAAAATTAGAGGTAGGTGCCAAATCAATTTCATATAAACACATCTGGGGTTCAGGGAATCACTTTAAAAAATCAGAGAGCCTGACAATACTGAGCACCACTCCTGTCTTCTCAGTCAATTAGAGCTGTGTGTTGGCCTTTACAGAGACAGAGACTCTCGAGTCTGTTCACCACAGTCCCCAGCACTAGCTATTGGCCCATCCCTAAGCAAAGGGCCAGTTGCCATTAACTATCAAACTATTATTTTCTTATAACTGAATTGAGAAAAAGATGAAAAATTTCTCAGATTGAAACTCCGTGAAAAGTGAGGTGACAAAATATAGTGAGGACCGCGTCTGCTTTGTGAGAGTGAGTCTCCTTGTATATGTTTAATATGTAAACACTATGTATTTTCAAAGAATACAAATTAAGACCCCATTATGAATAGCTCAGCCCCAGTAAAAAATTTAATCTGCAGTCGTAAATGAGGTATTGGTATTGTCAGCACACTGCAGATGACCAATAGAAGTTCAGAGAGGCTAAGAAATTTAGGCAGCGTCACAGCTGAACAAATGCTACAGCCAGAGTATTAGTCCATTTCTGTTGCTTACAACAAAATGCATGGAACTGGATAATTTGCAATAAAATGAAATTTATTGCTTACAGTTCCATAATCTGGAAAGTCCAAAGTCCAGGGAGAACATCTGGTGAGAGTCTTCTTTGGTGGTGGCTTTACAGGGATGCAGAGGTCTCACATGGCAGAACATGGTGGAGCAGAGACAGGGAGGTAGCTCCTCACATGCTCTCCTTTTAAAGCTCTCAGAACCATGCCCCCCCACCACCATTTTTAACCCATTCACTACTGCATTGTCCTACAACTAATCACCTCTTCAAGGCCTCACCTTTCAATTACCCACCCTCTTAACAGTCACAGTGGGGTTCAAGCTTCTAATACATGAACTGTGGAGGACACGATTCAATCAATTCACAGCAGCCAGGATTTCACATAGATCATTCTGGGATGAGAAGCTGCCTGTAGCAGGCTGATCAGTGTGAGCTCCCTGCATTAGACATGAAAGTGAATATCTTCAACAGATGTATATATCTCAGGAATTCCCTCTTTACCAGCCACGCAATGCCCATGAACTTCTCTGTCCACATGGCAAACTCAGATGTCCCAATAAAAATAGGGATGCAGAGATCAACATGGCTTCAGTAGCTTTAGTCACCCATTCATCAAATATGTATTGAGACGGGCAGGTGGGAAGTAATCAGACTACAAATGCAGACTACAAATCCCAGGTTAAATTGTGGCGTTTCCCTTCTCCTAGCTCTGAGAAATTGGACAAACCATTGAGCATCTCCAAAAACCAATTTCTCCTTCTGTAAAATGGAAGAATCACTGCATGCCGTACGATGGACTGGATGTGGTGAGGAATAAGGGAGAGATCTTACGTAAAATGGGCTCAATCGTTGCCAGCTGTGATTACTGTAGTTACTGGTATTTTATGCCCCCTCCCCTCAGATACCACTGCTGGGGTCCTCACCCCATCAAAGAGGGTCTTTGCAAGGCTGAGCTGTCATCCTATCCTAGTCCATGAATGGAAAGGGAAGGGCTTGGAGGAAGCAGGTCTGATGGCACACACGCAACACACCTTCTCACTGGATTCCACCCAGCACTTTCCCTGCAGGAGCTGACTCCCTCTGAGGGGTGTGGCTGGGAGGAGTAGGAATAAGCTCCACAGGTATGTGTGTTATAAAAACCAAGTCCACTCAGGCTCCTGCATAAGTAGCCCGCCCTGCCTTGCACCACAGCTGAGACAGCTGCAAGCCTGCTTGCTCACTCTCGCATCTGGGATTGCACTGGGTCTGCTTACTCAACGAGGTAAGAGCCTCCCTTTCAAGAGCTTCACTACCCGCCTCCGCTTCTCGTGCCACCCAAAGACCTGGGCATCCTTGGGTTTGGATCCCTTCATGGACAGGTGAAAGCTGGGTCCCAGAGCTGTGAGAAGTGACGGGGTCTTCATCTGGCACACCCAGCCTCCTGTCCCATCCTTCATTGCTTTAGCCCATGTTCCTGTCACTGTCTTTCCCTTTCCCAATCCTAGGGGGAGGCCGAACACCCAAAGTGGAAATGAGATCAAGGCCATTCTCTAGAACTGCCTTTTTTTGTACAGGATCATGTGTTTTCTTTTAAACGGAGCATGAATAATGTGAATCATCTTATTATTATGAAGTATGTCACACTAAACTAGCATAGCTCATAGCTATTTTTATTTCTTGCCAATGTTTTCTGAAGGGTAGAGAAAAGGTGAAAAGCAAGAAGTGATCAATGAGGAGTAATAGAAGAACAGAGAAGTATGGTCTGGCTGCTCATACCAGTTTTGTGACTTGTCCACCAGGGGACTGAGCCTGAACTGTCACAGTTATTACCTGGGGGTGACATATCAATAGCTACCTGGCAGGGCTCTTGTGTGGATTTAAGGAGTTGAGAATCAAATGCTGGGCCAGTGTTTTGCACATAGCAGGTGTCAAGTAGAAATGGACTTTCCTTCTCCCTTTGAGCATGGTTTTTGCTGTCCACCTGATAAAACTGATGCAGCAATGTGGCGCAGTAGGCCATCCTATTGATTCTCTGATTTCTTTCCAAAAGCCCAGGACTGTGCCACCCCAGAGCTCCAGAAATCAATTAGGCATGACCCTGCCTTCAGTCTTGTAGTCTAAATGCTCCCATTGAAATTCACCCCTCCCCTCTCTGGTTCACTTTGTGCAGTCAAATCTGATGACATGGTCAACTTCATGCCTTTCCTATAGTTCTCACTTCGTTCCACAATGCTCCTCTCACCCACACAACCCCCCTACCTCAGTGCGTCAGTCCCATGAATGTTCAAACTCTGGGTCAACATCACCTTTCACGACACTTCAATGACATTCACCATGCTCTTCCAATGTTGTGGTCATCAAAGTCTATTTGGAATTGTGAGACAGAAATCTAGCACATTTGAGCTGGAATAGAGATTAGAGATTATTTTATCCAACACCTTGATTTCCAAGTACAGGAACTGAGACCCAAGGGGCAGAGTGACTTGTACAAGATCAAGTTGGGGACAGAAATGGGACAGACACTCTGGTCAATGCTATTTAATTTCCACAGAAAGTAGCCAGTAAGGTCTTTAATATTTGTGATTTTTCATTCACCTCATTATGTTCAACACCTAGTCTAGTGCATGGCATGTAGTAGGTGCTCAATAAAAGCTTGTTGAATGAGAGAGTGAGTAGTGAGTAAATGCAGCAGTAAGTGGGTGAGATCTGGAGGAATGCGAGTTAATGAGGCTCAGAGAGTGTAAGGAGAGGATGAAGGGTGGTGGTGCTGTGACACTGCAGACTGAAAACAAGGGGAAATGTGAGTCGATGGGTTGCTCATCTGGTGATTCCAGGATCCAGAAGGATTCTTGGTCTACTCCTAAATCAAGCAGGCATGTGGCAGGGTGGAAAGAGAGGGCAGCCTGCAGTCCTGCCCAATCGAGCTGCTGCCCAGCACTGACTCATCTGTCTTTTGCAAACAGGTGCCTGCCAGCTGCAGCCATGAGGATCCACAGCCTCTCTCTGCTGTCCTTCCTCCTTCTGGCCACTCTGGTGCTCTTAGTGAAGGGAAGAAAGGCAGTGAAGAATGGCCATCACAGCAAAATGGCTTTGGAACAGAGGGATACTCTGGGCAGAGTCCAGATTAAGCAGAGAGACCAGCCATCCAAGCCCACAATCAAAGGCAGATTTGTCAGCAGTGACCAAGCCAACTGCAAATGGGCTGTGACTGAGCAGGAGAAGGGCATCGCCCTGAAGGCTGAATGCACTCGAATGGACCATGAGTTCTCTTGTGTCTTTGCTGGCAATCCAACCCCATGCCTGAAGTTCAAGGAAAGTAAAGTTTACTGGAAACAAATTGCCCGGAAACTCCGCTCACAGAAGAACATCTGTGGGCACTCCAAGAGTGTCCTGAAGACCAGGATATGTGGAAAGGAGTTTCCAGAATCCAGTCTCAAGCTAGTGACCTCCACTTTGCTTGGGAACTTGAAGCCCAGGAAGAAGGAAACAGAGCTCTCCGCTAGGGAACATACCAAGGTCAAAGAAGCTTCCTCAATAAAGCCAATCAAGGCCAAGGAGGACTCCCCCTCTAGCCAAGCTGTGCCCCAGACCACGGGCAACAAAGGTCCTGAGTGTGTGGATGACCTATATGTGGCAAACCAGAAGACTGCCCTGGAGTTCTGTGGAGAGTCCTGGAGCTCCTTATGCACATTCTTCCTCAGTATGATACAGGACAAATCGTGCTGATAAAGTCAAAAGAGGACAAGTTCCATTACAAGATTTGTCTCATAAGCCCCTCTGTGTGCTGTAAAACTCTCCAAGTTCTCCAAAAGATATGAACTTCTGTGCTATGAGTATGCAATGGAATATTGAAATAGATTTGTGATTTTTGTGTTTGTGTTTTGGAATTTGTTTTATATTTACTTCCTTAGATGTGAGGTTCAGAGGATGTTTACCTCAGGATGAATTTCCATGGTTCACAAAGCTATGTGCATATAGGCAGTGAGACCAGTCTTCAGGCTGAGCAAACCAGAGAGATAATTTCTGTGAGATGCACTTTCTGCTAAATTAACAAAGATAATAAAGCTCTGGGTATTTTCAGAAATACATTCAATCATTGTTTGGTTTCTCTACCGCTGGTTCCAAATGAACTGAGGGCTCATTATAAACAGGTTCATATATTGGTGGATAAAATATCTAAGAAACTACTCCCTGTTTCACCCAACCCAAGTCATCCCCTAATGCAGTCCCTCTTTATAGTTTTATCCATTCATCTATCGTGTCCGATGCTTACTGAAGTGCAGTAATTGTGATCCCTGTCTTCAGGAATACCTGGGGTATGGTATGATTAAATCACTTGTCAGGGTCTCAGAGACAGTAAGAGGGGAGGCAAGATTGGAACCCAGGGGTTCCGGCAGCTGAGTCCACAGGCTTGAGGAACCCCCTCTAGTGATTTAAAACAGAACTGCCCGTTCCCCCACCATATGCAGCACTCCTGTCATTGAAGAGCTCATTTCTGGCTTGGGGGAGAGAGGCTTGGTTAAGTAAAATGCCCTGTGATGAGGGTTGTAATGGAAAGAAGAGAAAGCTGCATGGAAAACTAGAGAGAGGAGAAGAAACTGCTAGAAGGTATGGGGCTGAGCTTCATTGAGAAGGTAATTCTGGAGCTGGATTTTGGAGAGAGTATCTTTAGCAATGAAATAGGGCAGATAGTGCAGGTACTTTAGGCATATGACAGCATTAATGAAAACAAAGAGATGTGAAGTTTCCAGAACCTGGGAGAGGTCAGGAGGCTGGGATAGAATGACATTGAAGCTAGTCATTTACACACTAGGATGAAAGATCTTAAAACATTCTATGTCAAGAGTTGGGGAAAAAGGATAAACTGTTCTCTATGTCCTGACACATTCCACAAAGAGGGAAAAGTGAGGAGCGGGAGTTGGTAAAAGCATATTCTTTAGCACCTCTGACAGTATACTGAGGAACGGCAGGTGGCACAGAAGGACACCTTTTTATACACACCAGCCTACCGGGACAGACACGGAGGGTTGTCAATGGCCAATCCACAGTGCAACAGCCTCAGAGTGACATGTGGATGTCATCATCAACATCACAAAACTAACATTTATCTCTCACTTGCTATGTGCCAGGCTCTGTGCTGAGCTCTTCTCATGGACTGTACATTTGTTCATTCATTCATTCACTCATTCATTCATTCAGCATCTGATACATGGAGCACCGACTCCTGCCAGACTGTGTTCTTGGTGCTGGAGATACAGCAATGGATGCACAAGAGATGGATGCTCTGCCCTCACAGAGCCTACCAGTGGGGAAAGTAATAAACTCAAGATTGTACAAAAGTTAAAGAGGAAAATTAAAGCAAGGCAGGGGATAAAGGTGATAGAGGGTAACGAGTTTTAGGTGGGTTTGTCAGGGGCAGCCTCTCTGTGGTGGTGACTTTTGAGCCTAGATGTATATGGAGGAATCAAGCCAGTGACTCTCCCAAGTAAGAATGTTCCAGCGAAAGCATTCAGAGCAAATGTCCCGAAATTATATTAACTTATTTATTCCCTCCAATAAGCTCCTACTATATGCTTGGAACTCTTTCAGAGGCAGGAAATAACAGCAAAGAAATTAGAAAAACATCCCTGTCTTCCTGGCACTTACATTCCAATGACTGGGATCTCGCTTGGAGATCTGCTGGAGAAATGTCAAAGATTGTGGTGTCAGTGTAGGATGGGACCCAGGGCCCAACCTGTGAACCTTACCACCAACCCCAAGAAAACTGAGCCAACATCTCAGATCCTCCCCACAGTCCTTCTAGCCACAACAGGGGAAGGACATATTCCTGTTAAATTCTACAGTGGTTTTCAGGCCTGCAGCTCCCTTATGCCATTAATAGAAGTGAATTCAGCACAGCCCTGAGATGGGAAAAGCCTGGTAAACTCTTTTAGGGGTTACTAAATATCAGCCTGGTCTGGTCTGGTTTCACATGAGCATTGGGGAGCCAATGTGATCCGAAGGCTCTTTAAGATCCCGTCCAGCCCATGAGGTTGCCGCTGCTTCTAGTTCACTCATGGGCTCAGCCACTGGCAGAACTGGGAGAAGCTTTGCCTTTTAACATGGTGGAGTCGGCTGCACCTGGGCTAGAGATTTTCTTCTCCATATAGCTAACTAGTATCTGGAACAATTATTTAACCCTCTGGCCACCAATTAGCTCACCTGGAAAATGTGATAATGAAATGCACCTTTAAGGGTTGCTGGAAAAAAGTGACACTGGCCGATACTTCTAAATCACGTATCATTGCCCCACTGCTTACACAGCAGGTGTTCAGCCCGTCTGACCATTTAAAGTCCGCAGCACTAGACTGGATTGTGGAAGGAGGTCAAGTTTCCGAAAGGAAACTTTTTCACTGTGGGAGTTATTTTACTTTTGTTTTCCTGTTTGTTTTGTCTGTTTTGATTTTTTTACAGTGCAATAAATGGTCAGGAGCCACCGTTACTGACAAGCTATGTACCAGTGACTTTGCCCCCATTCTTTTATTTAATCCCCTGACAACCCTGTCTGGTAAGTGTTTTCATCCCCATTCTCTAGATGTGGGAACAGAGGCAAAGTTAAGCCAAACAACTCGCCAGGATGAAAAAACCATGAAGTGATAGAGCTTGTCGAGAGGATCCTTGGTCTGGGGGCCTCTATATTCTTTTTGCCTCTGAAGCTCATGATTTTCTTCACTTGATGAGAGAAGAGTGACATTTATGGTCTTTAGCCATGGGCCAAACCTGAAAGTGAGCAGGATCCATCAGTCCCTTCCATGTGTATCTCCCCTCCCATGTCCTTAAAAAGAGAAAGTTCTAGATGTTAACACTTCCATTTGTACTCATCCTTCGCAGTCACATCCTAAGGGGACATTTTAAGAACAGTTAAAAATAAACAAATAAAGATATCATAGACTTTACATTGACTTCTATCCAACTTGCCCTACATATTTTCTTTATGAGAACTTTCTGGATACGACATAGAGGAGCCAACTTGTGTGTGTGGGGGGGTGTGATTTTAAGATACAATTCCTCTTGGAAGGAAGAGATGGGACCTTTTTAGGTAGGTAAGAGGTACTGAAGGTTGGCGTATCTGTGTCCCCTAAAAATGTTCAGAAATGGGACTGTCTCCCTTCCCTTACAAAACCTCATCTCAGTAGAGGCAGGGCCTCTCCCTCTGGCACCCCTGGCTCTGTGTGTTAATTCACAATCATACCAGTGCTGACTTGAATCTCTGGAATCCAGCATCTCTCACTTGGCCTTCTTCCTATTCACCTCCTTCCCTAAACTTTTTCCTAAATTGTTTTTGGCAGAACAAGCAAAGGATACCAAAGTGTTTGGAGCTGAAAGCCCCCATGCAAACACACCAGCCAGCCATCCTCTGATGGGTTGGTTTGCATAACACCCCACGTACAATGCTCACCTTCAAATGTCTTACTCAAAAATAGTTCATGCAACAATATACAAGGAAATATGTATTAGGGTTTATCTAAATGAAGGATCAGGATGGAGGGGGGGAGGAGAAGATTCCAGAAAAAGTCTGGTATGGGAGCTGGAGAGTTCAAGGTGGGTTATCTGGGGGGAGTTTTCATAAGGCAGTTGGAAATGTGGGTAATAATACAGCAGAGCTGAAGTCAAGTCTTGCCCATCTCCACAGCCCCAGCACTTAGTGCATGGCCTGGCACATAGTAGGCAAAGATTACGGGCTTCACAGTAAAAGACTGGGTTTAGGTTTCTAGTTATGTGACCTGGGATAAGTTATCTCATCTCACGTTCCCCATCTACAGAATGAGTCTAGGAGTATGTATCCAATAAGAACTATACATCATCAAAGTCAAAAGTATGGTCCTTGCACTCAGGGATTCTTATTAAGAATTTGTTGTAAGTGAATGGATGAACCAGTTAGCTGAGCGCAGAGATAAGAAGACAATTTTTTTTAGGAAAAGTACTCGAGTCAAAATAGCTCTTGCCAAAGGTCTGCTCATGAAATGGAGGCTGGCTGTCCTTAATCACCTTCCTATGACCTCCCTCTACCTAGTGGTCCTGAGGAACCCCACACGCATGCCCTGATAAGCATTTTTTATGAGTAGGGTGAAGGTAGAGAGAAATCTGGCTCTTACGGGCAGCCTTTGTGACTTTCTCAGTCGGCTTCCTCATCTCCCTCACTCTGCAGATGTGTGCTCCGGGCTCAGCCCAGGACCTGCTCCCTGCGTCATCTCTTTTGGAGCCATTGTTTCATATGCTATTTACACACCAGTGACCCACATTTACATCTCCAGCCACACCTCTCTCCTGACCTCCAGCTGCTCCCTCAGCATCACTGCTTGAATGCCCAAAAGGTACCTGCAACACTGCATGTGAACAACACAGTCCTCATCTTCCCCCCAAATTCCTGCTCCTCCCACTTTACTTCCCACCTCAGTTCATGGTAATGCCAACCTTCCAGTTGCTTGGGTCAAAATCCTTCAGGAGTCATATTTGACTCTTCTCATACTAAGCATTCAGTTCATCTCCAAGTCCCGCCATCTCAACCTTCAAACTATATTCAGAGACACGACTCTTTGCCATCTAATCACCACCAGCCTCGTCCAAGCCCCAGCCTCTCTTACCTGCATTATCGCAATAGTGTCCTGATGGGTCTCCCTGCTTCTGGTCTTGTGTCTTGCAGTCTATTCTAGCTCAGCTGTCAGAGAAATGCCTTCCAAAACACG